AAAAAAAAAAAAAAAGCATTGGTAAATATTAAAGCCCCTACATTAGGTCTCACCAAACCCCTCCTAGGGAAACTTCAGAAAAAGTCTGCTGCAGGAGCTTCTCGAGCTTTTGTTTTGAACTTCCGGCTTTCAAGACCTTCTATGCCCAACAACCCTCCCTGTAATCTAAACCCTAAACCCTGAACCCNNGTTTAGGGTTTCCTGGTTCCCTGTTGGGGCTATATCGAAACATGATTCATGTTTAATCCTTCTTGGGGTTTGTTATGACAAACATGAAAAATTGTAGCCAACAAGGACCCAGTTTCGGGTTTAGGGATGGTAAACTCACAGTAACGTTAGATTAAAATCAGCGTAACCTTTGTAGGAGCCTTATAGTAACCTTAGAGTTGCCTTACACTCACCTTTAACGTATCAGGAGCCTTATAGCAGCCGCTATGGCAACCTTATGGTAACATTTACAACCCTCATGGGTGACCCTACAAACCAAGAAGGTATAGAATCTTCAGACAACGAGGTACCCGAACAGCAGCACCCCGTTCATATAGGAGCTGGGATTAGGGGGACCCTTGGGGATATAGACCCTCTCAATAAGGTTCCTTTTAAGAGAGCCATAAGTAGAGTTAAGAAGGGTCCCCTGTAAGGGGTCTCCCTAACACGACCTGGGATAATATACATACTGCAATCAGTATGCATTTCTAGCACCCTGATCTGAAATCTGCGCCTCAAGACAGGGTCCTAGCTCAGGGGCGGTGGGGTATCCTGATCTTCAGGGCTTATCTTTCATCTTTAAACAGCTCGGAACTCGGAAACATTCGGGGCAATTTGCATATCTAAAGCTTGGTTCAGAGAGGTGGGGCAAAGGAACCATTGCAGTGTGGTCAGACCATATTTCTAGGATGTTTCGTACGGTAGTTACGTCTTGGTCTAGCCCATAAGGACTCTGCACGACTGACAACTGTCGGCAATCGAAATGCTATCCCTGTAGGCTGCACAGGAAACAACTCAATAGCAGGAGGGGTCGTTCGCAGGCAATGCGCATGTTCTGGATGAATCGCCAGCCTCGGCGTCTGCCGATGCATCTCCATGAACCTCACATCCAGCCGCCACAAGTAAAAGTAATGCAGACCCCGGATGTTGACATGAAGACTTTCTTCAATTGTCTTTAGATTCGCCTCGGCCCGGTCGAAGTCATTAAAAGGTGCCTCTTTCCTCCCCTGTGACCCACTAGGGGCCACCCACCCCCACTTTAAAATGTAAATTTCAAGGCTTCGAGAGATCAGCGCGGTTTCTAAAACCCCATCTCTTCAACCCCAGGCCCTCGAACGAAAAAAAACACACACCCCAACGGTTTAGGATTTAGGGTTTAGGGCCTTTAAACCCTAAATCCTGAACTCTTACCGCTCTAAACCCCCAACTCCTGAAAGCAAAGCCTCCAAAACCAAAAAATAAAAAGACAAAGCCGCCGTCTCAAACCCATAACATCACTCCCAGCTCACCCAGGACGAACCAGATTGGCAGCTAATATAGGGGCCGTGCTATTTTTAATAGGGTCTTGGGGGTCTATAGGGCCATAATTATAATAAGGAACCCACTAAATCCCTATTCTAAAGATAGGGGCCGTGATAATTAGAATAGGGTCTTGGGGGTGTATAGGGCTATAATTATAATAAGGAACCCCAAATCCCTATAGGCCCTATTCTAATTATTAAAGCCTCTATATTATGTTGACCGTCGCGCTCATAAATCCAAAACACCGGAGATCCCTCAACCTATCCCAAGGCGAATCATGCTTTATATATAAATATATACATATATATATGTAGTTATATATATATATATAATTATATATATATATATATATGGTTGTATATATATATATATTTGTATGTATAGAGAGAGGTACACGCATACATACAAGAATGCGCATGCATACCTGCATACATGCATACATACATACAAGAATACATATATACATATGGGAGCCCGAAGGACTAGCATTATTGAGGACCACTCCTCTGTATTACAATGTTACAAGAAGCCAACAAGCTTCAAGCATGGGTGTTGGAGAAGTGTAAACCTTAAAACCTAAACCCTAAAACCCCCAAACCCTGAACCCTAAAACCACAAAAACAAATGCGACAGCTACAACTTTCAGCCCTAAACCGTAAAACCCCGAGCCGTAAACCCTGAGCCCTGAACGCCCTAAATCCTGAGCCCGATGCCCTCGGCACACCGTTCGACAGCGCTTCCGACATGGCCGCGTGCCAAACTCAATCCAAGAAACGACGTTGATAAAGGGGCCTTAAGAATCGGGTTCAATTAAGGGTTTAGGGTTCAGGGTTACTTTAAGGGTATAGGGGTATAGGAACCATACGGGAATAGTATTACTAGTATATATTCCGTGATTGGAGAGCTGCTTTCGCTGGTATGTGGTTGCGTCAGCTGCCGAAAAAGTGACCCTTGGCACCATGCTACCAGAATGCTTCAAGAAAGGTCTTACATTCTGAACCATGAATCTGAATTCCGAAATAGTAAAGTGGGGCCCAGGGTGCAAGAGTTGGGTTGGCTAAAGTGTTGCTCTCTACACTCGCGGTCTGTCATGAGTGACACGCAACGAGCCAAAGCATTCGGATGGCTTCGGTGTAGCTAGCCTTTAGGACCGACTAGGATCGGCGACGCCACCACTGTCGCCACTTGTATCGCTACCCAACATGATCGTGAACTGTTACCTCTCTGACACTGACTCAGGATGAGTCTGCGGGGAGTCCGGAACAACATCGACATCAAAGCCCTCAAGCCTGTGCACTCAACTTTGAACCCTTGCCGAGGCCATAGCTCTCCACCCTAAACCCTAAACCCTAAACCCTAAACCCTAAACCCTAAACTCTAAACCCTAAACCCTCACCTTCTTGAAGGAATCGGGTGGAGTGCGTAGCTCCAAACCCCGGAGCCGAAACCTTAGCCTCCACACACCCCGGTATCCATGAGCCCGACTCCCGAAACCCCAAAGACGAAAATCCTGAAACACTTAAAGTAGAAGCCAGACATTTTGAAACATCAATATCCTCTTGCCCTTAGACGAAAGTAAACTATAGGGAAATCCAAGCCCTGATCAGAGTAAATCCATGTTCACAACCTTGGGCTCACTACACTTCAGCCCGACATCAGAACCCTCAAGACTCTTACCCTAGTCTAGGGTTGAGTCGTGTAGGGCTTGGGCTTACGTCCCCCGACCTGTTGATACTGTTGATGATATAAATCCTGCATTAGCTGCTTAGCTGAGAGACCCTAGGCTATGGGGAATTGTGCTGGATTCCGTCTTATGGGTAATGCAGGCTTTATATCATCAACCCTATTAACCCAGAAGCCCGCGAAACACCCATGCCCAACCCATGTGCCGTCGTGGCCTTCAGCGCCTGGCCATCCACCTGCGGCGAAGGACCGGCACCCAGCTGAGCGAAGACCTGCAAGCAGCTGGGATTCGGAACTGTTTCGCACCAGATCCTACAGTGAGTCCTATACCAGCAGGCCCTTAAAACCCTAAACCCTAGACAATGGCACCCTGAAGTCGCACATGGACGGGGCCGATGTTCATGAAAGCTACGTAGGGTTTAGGGTTTAGGGTTGGAACTCATCGTCACCACCGCCCCATCATCCTCTTCTTCTTCCCTATACTGAACTTAGACCCCTAGCAAAAACTATAATTTTAGCTGCTTCTTAGGGTTTATAGCAGCCAAAGATTAAAAATTATTTCTAAGTACCCCAAAACCCTAAACCCTAAACCCCAAAAATTATTTCTAAGTACCCCAGAGTTCCTTTGCGGCTACAGTTCGTCTCTTCTGACCAGCGGGTGCCTACCGGGCACTTGGCCCCGGCCGCTGTATCGCTGCGCAGCACGAGGGGTTTAGGGTTTAGGGTGTAGGGGTTTAGGTTTAGGGAGCATGCTTGCATTCGGTGGCGGTCACACCATCCTCATCAACACCATCTCCATGAACAGCCACAACATGATGGTAGAGGCCTCTTGTAACCCTCATAGCGCTGCTTATAGAGTAACCCTTCAAGTACCCCTAAACCCCAATCCCCTCATAGTACCCTTATCGTACCCTTAGAGTAACCCTTTTTTTGCGAAACCGTCGTCGGTCGTCGTCGTAGCACGCTCACAGCCGGCCTGTGACAGCGCAGACCCTCCGAGAACGGGCCTGCCAAATGCATTGCAGCTTCGGGTTTGGGATTATAGGGCTTAGGGTTTAGGATATAATGTCTAGGCTTTGGGGTTATAGGGTTTAGGATTCTAGGATATAGGCTTTGGGGCTATAGGGTTTAGGGTTATAGGGGCTCAGAAGGAAGATCAAGGCATCACGAATCGCGTGCAGCATTCAGGATTGGTCTAATATAGGGCCCTTGATAATTAGACTCCGGTTCTGGGGGGGCTCCTTATTGTAATAATAGCATAATATATTGTATATTCTATTATAGTGTACATTATATTATATCTTATATTATAATATATTATATAGTATATGTGGTATAATACGACCCAAAACCCTATTCTAATTGTTAAGGCTCCTATATTAAAGTGTAACACATCCGAACTTAGATACCATTGTGCGCGATCTACCGCGGCAACTCGTGCGAAAATTGTTGCTACTACTGGTAGTTGCATTGGTTGTGCAATTGTGCAACTCCAAGCAGGTCTATGACTTTCATCAATGCTGATACCTGTGTCACTCCGAGCAGCACCATGACTGTTGTTGTCGCTGGCAGTAGCCACCATTCTCGTATTACGAGTAGCCATTTCAAGACCTCGCTGCTTTGATGACGGTTGTGATGCTGTTCCCTAAACCCTAAACTAAACTAAATCCCAAACCCTAAACCGCTGTTGATCACGAACACAACCCAAGGGCAGGTATGCAGCGAACAGGACCATGAGATTCCACAAACACCATGGTCAACGCATCTACTGCAAAAGCAAGGCAAGGCTAGATGCAACGGTGGCAGCAAGAACAGTAATGTCGAAGCCTTAATATTGGAATAAGGCTTTGGTGTATACTATACTATAGAACGTATAAGGAACCCCCAAAATAGTATGGGCAATTATTAAGGCTCCTACATAATCCAGAAAGCTCGGAAGACTTCCTGGCAATCTGCTGCAAAGCGTGGCGGGGGCGTACGGGCCCTGTCCGAGATCCACGAAGAGCAGCACACCGTCGCCTTTGGTTTTGAGATCTGGCGTGGCCTGGCTCAGGGACTGTTTCAAACCAAACCAAGACCTGGGTATAAACCCTAAACCCTAAACCCTAAACCCCTAAACTCTACACCCTAAACCCCGAAACCCTAAACCTGCTCTCCTTCGAAAGCAAACTGCCACGCCTTCTATTGGCTGCCAGTCGCCCGGTGATCACATGACAATACCTACACCGCCCTCACGACACCAGTCACGAAAGCTACGACTGTCACGACGACTAATTGGAGGTTCATGGGTAGTTATAAGTCGAGTTATAAGTCCCCTAATATGGGTTGTTATTATTATAGTTACCCTGCTTATAACCCCACTTATAACTACCCATCAACCTCCAAGCCCTGTTCTACTCCGAGCCTTGATACGGACGTCGGGCACCGGGGCCTGGAGAGAGCGAGAGGTCAATGAAACATGAAGGAAGTTCTCTAAGATAGGGTCCCTTGTAGGGTCCTTGTTATGAGAGTGCCGTACTGTATTGGGGACCCAAAAAGGGACCCTAGTTTAGAGAACTACCCATGAGCCATGGGATTTTCGTGCAACAATTCAGGGCTTGGGGCTTCCTGATACGGACTCGAGGTTGAGGGTTTCAGGTTCAGGGTTTCGGGGGAGCGGGCTTTCAAAGGTGATTGAAACGTTTCTAGCGATGTTTGAAGCATTTCAGGGGTGTTCTCTGGAAGGCCCTAGGTCTCTGAGAGAGGACGCCTGGAACCCTTCCCCGGTTCACATCCTCTCGTCTTGCCTAATGGGCTTTGGGTTTAGGGGTCAGGGGTTTTTAAAAGTTTGGGTTTGCTGAGTCCTGGCAAGTCTAAGGATCGTCCACAAATCCCTGAAGTTTACACATCATGTATAACATACCCTAAAGGTGCCGAAAATAGTTACCATTTGGGGCTCGTTCCTATAAGTATGAAAAAATAAAATGCCCCGAAACCCTATTCGAATTATGCTGGCCACTTTGTAGATCCCCTCCATAGAACCCTTTATAGTACTGTAGTAAGCGGAACCTGTTTAAAAAGGAACCCTATTCTACGTATTAAGGCCCCTTTCTTCTGCCACCCAGAATTTCCAGAAGAAGGCTTTTATAAGCGCTCTACGTCAACGTGAAGTAGAAACAAGAAAGTTTACAGCGGCATCCTCCTGGTGCGCCTTTTTTACTCTTTGAAGGATGATCTGGGATTGCCGCACCCTCTTCGGCTTCTTAGACGAGGTCCATCCACAGTCCTCTGCTTGTATTGCGCGAAGATGCAGGTTCCAAGCGGTCTGGAAGAAACTCGAAAGAACCCTCATGGAACCGTTGTGAGAACCCTTTTTGATCCCTCCTCCCAGGGAACTGTGTAGACTCCGACATCCTTAACCTGCCATTGTTTCGAGGCGTGGGCTATGACCGCTGCAACCTGGGCCAGGACTCGTTCAGGTACCACATGGGGCCAGCGCTGGTCCAGTGGAACCACTTTGGCTTGTTAAAGGATGTCCGTGGCCAAGAGGTAATCCGTGCTGTCTCGCCGCCAGGTCAAACGCATCAACACTGTAGGGTGCGAGACCGTAGCGGGGGAGACCGTCGGCAAAGACCTGGTTACCGAGAGTTCTTGGCCGTGTCCTCCTTGCAGGGACAGTTTCAGTACTCAACTCCCTCCTGAATCCTGGACCCAAAAAAACCCTGCACCCTTCACCCTGAACCCTAAACCCTAAACCCTGAACCCTAAACTCTAAACCCTAAACCCTAAAAACCCCAATCCCTTGAACCAGAAGTTGACCCTAAGCCCTATAACCCTCAAGCCCTAAACCCGAAGCCCTAAACGCTAAACCTTGAGGGTTTCGGGTTTAGGGTTTAGGGTTTAGGGTTCAGGGATTGGGGTTTAGGGTTTAGGGGTTTAGGGTTTAGGGTTTAGGGTTTCGGGTTTAGGAGTTTAGGGCTCAGGGAAGCAGTCGAGCCCCCTGCGTAGACCGTGAGCACAAACTGCCCCGGGCTCTTGGCTGTCTCGACCTCAGACAGAGATATTTGGAGGATTAGGGTTTAGGGTTCAGGGTTCAGTGAGGGTTCCAGGATTTGGTCGTTCTAGACCGTTTTACAAAGGGCATCTATTTACAATAGATCTACAAGGGCTCTACGAAGTTTCGTCGAGGAGTTATGGTTGAGCCTTAAACCCTAAAGCCTACTGTAGGGGCCTTAATAATTAGAATAGGGTTTTGGGGTTGGTTGTGCTAGATTTATAACAAGGAACACCCAAAATAATATTGGTAATTATGTAGGCCCCTATATACAGCCTGAGGGTTGTGGGTTTGAGGTGTCGAGTTTAGAGTTGAGGGGCCGGAACCCGAAACCCTGAAGCCGCACCTACTGAGTCTTGAGACCGTTCACCAAAGTTACAGACAGTTACAGACCCGAAGCTCGGCCCAAAGCAAAACATAGGAAGTAGGGTTTAGGGTTTAGGGACCCTTCAACCCTAAACCCTAAACCACAAACCCTGTAGACGGCTGAACCCGAAAGCGCAAACCCGAAGCCCTGAACAGCCAACCCTTTCTGCCGAAGCCCTGAACCCGACAGCACTAAACCCCAACCAAAGGGTTGCTGTAACGTTACGTTGCTAAAAGCCCCTAAACCCTAAACTCTCCTAAACCCTAAACTCCCGGCTGCTGCTCAAGCATGAGGGCATGAGGGTCCCTGTGGTCTGTAGGTCCAAAAGCAAAGTTTGAAGAACCCACCTATAAACCTCTTGAAAAACCAAACAAAAGCGGAAGCGTGCAGGCAAAAAAAGAAAAAGAACGAGGAGTCTCCTAAACCACTAAACCCCTAAACCCTAAACTCCTAAACCCTGAACCCCTAAACCCTACACTCCCTTCTAAAGCCCTAGAAACCCAGAGCCGGCCTGGCCGTTGCCCAGCGGCACGCGGGAAGCCATGGAGAGGGAGTCCTTCGAATTCTAAGTTCCTGACTGACCCCTTAATGACGATTAAAGTTTAGGGTTGAGGGGTTTAGGGTTTCAGAAGGCACTTTAGGGTTTAGGGGTTTAGGGTTTAGGGTTTAGTGTTCCCATTTTCCTGCTTATCCCCATACCATAAGGAAGGCCAAAGGGTACTTTTCAGGAACCTAGAATTTGGGTAGTTCTCTAAATTAGGGTCCGCTTTGAGGTCCCCAATATAGTACGGCACCCTTATAATAATGACCCCAAAAAGGGACCCTAATTTAGAAAACTACCCGTTTGAAGGGCTCCCAGAGAGAGTTTAACAGGGTGGGTTCGGATTTAGAGTTCAGGTTTCAGGGCTTAGGGTTTCAGGGTTCCTTTAAAGGGTTCCTTTAAAGGGTGGGTTCTATAAGGGCCACGATAAGGGTTTAGGGTTTAGGGTTTTAGGGCTCTGTGTTCCGGGTTTAGGGGTTTTAGGGCTCGGGGTTCAGGGTTTAGGGCTTTCAGGGTTCATGGGTCCAGGGCCTGCGGGGCGTTACGGCGCTCTTTGAAGGACATCCTGTCGGAACATGTCTCGGCTTTCAGTTGGCGCCACATATACTCCAGTTTGTGGTTAGCGGAACGGAAAGTTCCCCGGAATGCGACGTAGAGGGTAGACGCACTCAGTGCCATTCGTCACTATGCGTTCCGCTTCGCCACCTGAAGAAGCAAAGCACTTTACAGCGCTCATTTCGCTGCCCACGAAGCTGTCAGTTAACAACGACAGTGGCTCTTCGAAGTACATCGTGCTGTCATCGCCCTTCAGCCACACCTCATGCGGCGCATCAGGCACTATGTACTCCAGGATGCTGGTCGCTGCTTTGGTGTACACTTCGTGCAGAAACATGTTTCTCACCATGGTGTCATCTTTGGCGCTCATCAGTGTGTCACTCATATGGATGACTAAGCCGCATTGCCCCTACATTCGAGTTTTTGGGTTTCAGGTGTAAGGCGCAGGGTTTAAGAGTTCAGGGCTAAGGTTTTGGGTTGACTGGGTAGTTGATGGTGAAATACTATAGCGGTTACGCCATTGGATTACTTTAAGGGCTACTGTAAGGGTTTAAGGTTTAGGGTTTAGGGCTATATGGCTTACGACAAGGTTTGGGCAAAAGGGTTCGGGGTCTCGGGTCTTGGGCTGAGGAAATCCTAAACGACAACACAATGACAATTGGCTTCAGGGCCCAGAACCAGTAGTACTATGATGAGTGACTGTTTGTACGTGGAGTGGCCCTACTGAAAGAGTAGTAGTATGATGAGTAGGTACAGGCACTGGGACTTGTAGAAGGACTCCAACTTGCCCACCATGATGCCCTTGCCTTTACAGCTGTTGCCGTAGATCTTTCGGGCTCCATTTTTAAGTGTTTGGGCAGCTTCTATCTAGAGTAAACCCTAAGCCCTAAACCCTAAACCCTACCAGAGTTTGGGGGTTTGTGGTTAAAACCAGGCTTCCCTTCTCTGGGGTGGTCCTCGTACTAGGGATTCTTTGGGTTCTACATGGGGGTTTCCGAAAATAGGGGACCCTTATTTAGTACCCTAATTAATAGGATCCCTATTATAAGGACCCCCAAAATAAGGTACCCCTAATTTTCGGAAACTCCCATTTCAATCTCCCCTAAACCCTAAACCCTAAATCAAGCTGGAGTCCTTCATAGCACCTTTTTCTTTGGGTTCTACATTGAGGGTCCCTCATATCTGACCATCCCATGAAGCTAAACAGCGCGACAGTCCCCCCCCCCCCCCCCCCCCC